TTTTAAATTTTCGACTATCAACCGATATTTTTCACTAAATGGTAAGTATAAATATCGTTTATTTTTAGATACCTTGCCTATAATTTTGAATTTAAATCTAATAATAAATTACTCAGTCATGAGAAAAATGAAAGTGTCCCAATAATTAACTTTGAAGTTAGTTTCTAAAACTAATTTAGCTATTTTCAAGCCCACACATAACATTTAACGTAATTAGTTTCAAAACAGTTAAAAAAGCAATCAGAGGCATTCTAATTAAGTCGCATTTTGGTTAAGCTGTCAGAAACTGTTACTAGTACCTACTTATTATTATAACTAGTTATACCGAGATAAATGGTCAAGATTATGTAATTGTAGTGATGTGTTTACTGTTTATTGTTTATAAATCTGTGTCAAATCCTTGTTTTAATTAAGTATATTGCATGTATTGTACGCCCTAGAGGCAAAACATAGCGCTCTCAACATATTACATAAGAACTTATAATGTACCTATGTTTTACAATGAATAAATGAATCTTGAATCTTGAATCTTGAATATTACTTTAACTAGATTACTCAACATTTTTTATACTAGGGCCAAAAACATCCATGGGATTCCGGGCTGGAAGCGAGAAATTAATTATTACGTCATAAATGAAACGTAAATCAAAGGTCACGATGTATTTACAATACAAAAGATATCTAGCTAGTTTTTGTCGTTTAGCTCCGACCACCGAATCACTTGTTCTCTTGAAGGCGCGGATTTTCAAATAGAACAGAGTATGTAGGAACTTCTAGTGGGCCAATCAAAAGGCTCGGTGGGCCACATACCGCCCGCGTGCCACTCTAATCTAAAGATTCTGTAACTATGTATTATAACGGACCTGTAACTTTCTGGTGTTGCAAATATCTATGGGCTAATAAGGAGTTACATCTACCCGTTTGCCTGCATATCCTATCAAAAGTTATTACTACAGATATGAAGTTCAATGGTAATTTTGATCTGTACATTGACCATAATTCTTACTTTCCCATATCTTTACGTCTTGAATGCCTTCCTACTATTATAATTAAAACAATAGTTAAGAATGTAATAAAGTAATAATAATATTGTTTGTTTGAACGAGTTAATCTACGGAACTACTAGTCCTATTTGAATAATTATTTTTGGATTGTTGGATAGTGCATTTCTCGAGGAAGGCTATATGTTATAAAACATCACGATTCGATCAATAGACATCGAGCAGAGCGGATGAAACCACGCAGAAGTAGGAAGTGCTAAAACTCAAGTTAGTTGGCCCTTCAAAGAGTATCAAAGGTCTAAACGTAAGTACGTCAGTCATATTCAATTCTAGGAATATACGAACCGAAAAATTCGAAACTTGTGGTTGCCACCCACACGGTTCTGCCATCAACCTTTCCATCTCCTTTGATGGTATTGTTACTAAGCCTACCCCTTTCGGGATTTAAGAATAACGTCTCAAAGTGACAATGTCAATGTTTTATGGATGAAATCAAACTGTTTTTCCTTTTTTTGCTATACTAATATTATAAAGAGCAAAGACTGTTTGTTTATTCCGCATATAGTCTGCCTTTTCTTTAAGGGGGGAAAATCATCGAATGACTGATCCCGCCTGGGTGAGGCAGGAGGGAGTGTCAGACTCTTACTGACTAAATACCACCCCGTTCCTTCTCCTGCACGTCGAGCCAGAGCCCTGGTAACCCGTTAGGTTCTCCGCGACATAGCCTGTGGCAACGCCATCGATTTTACAAATGCATTCACCATTAAAAAGGTGCCAATGATAGGTCATATTTTGTAAAAGGGTATGATGGTGTTGTAATATAAAAAATAAAAATCCCTTAATAAAAAGAAAGGCTTCTTCCTGGGGATTAGCATTTTAGTTATGCCACTTCTCATCCTGATATTTCGAGAGAGTCAAAACCTCATTGTCATATCAGCCAAAAGTCGTCCAGTGCTAAATAAAGTAATGACTTCCCGATTGGTCGTGTGTAACCTGCATCCAGCAGCGTCCGCGTCTGTTTTATTACCCATAAGTCAGCACTGCAGCAGTGGTACTGTATGGTACCACCCTAAAACCAGCGTTGACCGTTACCGCGCTCAACATAATGCTGAGGTGGAGGCCTGTTCGGCTTGGCATGCATTTATATATTTGTTTTATTTTTTATATATTATTATTTTTATTCGTGTCTTCATCTCTGTGCATGCTATGTACCGAATTTTCGAAGTTTTATTTCTCTCTTTCGTTCTTGGCCTTTTGAATAGCCCCCGTACTAGAACTTAAGTCAGAACCTACCCGAAAGAATCCTTCAAAATTCTATACAGGCAATACCGATGGCGATAAGCTAGTGTTTCAATAATAGAGTTACCTTTACTAAATCTGAAAGTATTTCACTTTTGTCTTTGGTAGCCAAATCCCTGAAGGCATGTAGCACTCTGTCGTCAGTTTATTTTTGTTGTTTTCTTTCTATGTGTGTATGATGGACTAATACTTTCTTGTTCGCTGTTGTCATATTTTCATTATTTAACGCTTCATATTGCTGTGTAGGTCTTGGGGATGTCGATTATAGAAAATGGAGATGTGTTTTCTTATTTCAAGGTAAACGATGTTTTAGTTCTGAGCATGTAGTTTATGAATGTCTGTGTTAAGTTGACATTATTATCAACATTATTAGCTTTATATCTATTCTAAGATAGGGTCATATAATTGGCTATGTTGCCAATATCTAATTTTAAATCAGTTAATTAGTTGTTGACTATATCAACAAAAATGTATTTTATTTCAAAAACTTGATTAACTGACTGCCTCGTTGGCCGAGTGGTCGCAAGGGCGACTGCCGAGCATGGGGTCTCGGGTTCCATTCCTGGGTCGGGCAAAGTATTACTGGGTTTTTTAAAATTCTCAGTAGTAGCACGGAGTCCGAAATTGTGCCCGGTATATGGCAATAAGCTAACCCCCTATTACATGGGACTCATAACATAAATAGTGAAAAGTGGGTGTTACATTGTACAGTGGCATAATGTGCACCTCTGCCTACCCCTTTGGGGACAAAAGACATGATATTACGCTATGTTATGGTTAACCGAATGGTTACCAAACCCAAATCACCATTTTATCTCATAGATAAATATATTGCTATGATAAAAACGCAGGCGCTAGAATATACCAGCCCTAACTCTAACCCTTTTACAATCCTCTACATTACTCCAGAACTATATCACCATATTTTAGTACTATGACCATTTCTTTCCACTTTACATATCCAAATTCCATAAGGTAACATAATATTAAAATACACGTGCCCCAAAACGACAATTCCTTTCCACCGTAAAAGTAAGTGTGGATTTCTCAAAACTCCTTAACAAGGAATTTCACTCGCGGTATAAATTTCCCTTAGTTGTCTACAAGATTCCTCTTACCACCATGTTTAACCCGCAAACTTTTTGGAATGCAAAAACGGAACGGTGACACCGACATTGTACCTTTCTTACAAGTTGGAAGGATTTAAAATATGCCTAAGTTTTGTAATCTTTGAGAAGAAAGCAAGAACTAATTGGTTTACCAGTTTCTAATTCATTTTTTGTTGCAGTAGAGATACAATTTCAAGTTTGTTAATTTCTGGAAGGGGAGACGCTGTACCTTAGTTTTTTGTAAGTTATGGCATGATAACCCTACTACTTTTACTCAACCGATGTCAAAAAGTCACGATCTTATGTATAGCCATCCGCCAAGAACAATTCCAGACTATATGCTACTACGGTAAAATGTAAAAATTAAACAGGTTTAAGACGCCCGCTTCTTGTGCGTGATGGTACCAAAGTGACATTTTCAGAGTTATATGTACTTTCTAAGATTATTTAAACACCAAGACAGTAAAAGAAAACATCGTTAGGAAACCTGGGCTTATAATTTCTAATTATGAGTTGCTTAAAATCGCCAACCCGTATTAAGCAAGCGTGGCGATTAATGCGCAAACATTCTCCGTGTGAGAAGAAGCCTTTCGTCAGCAGGAGCTATTTATAGGCTATTGATGATGAAATGGATTCTGTGCCCGTCCCTTTGGCATCAAATTCAAGAACTTTTCAATGCAACATAGTCAGTTTACACACAAATTACAATGTGTCCTCCATGACAAAACATAATAAACTTGCGAACGTTCTAGAACTAAAAATTCGTAGGCACGTATATTGGATTACGACGCGTTATCCAACTCAAAGATGAAGCTTGCATCCGACAGTGAGCGTTCAAGCGTTGTTTATCTACCAAATCTTTGTAAACCTACTTTTTGAAGGCCCAGTTCGGTCCATGTATAATTGAAAAAAGATTAACTATGAGATATAGACTTTGATGGACCTACCTACGTATAGAAACCACATATGTACTTAGATGCTTTTACTACATCTAGCTTACAATCCGCCAGTTGATCAGAAGCCTTTCCCAAATCGTGTCACATTCACTTATTTATGCTATCTCAAACCAACCCTTACACTTCGTGATACAAACAACCATAAAGTTATGTTACAACACAATAAAACGCGTCTCGGCTTCTCATGGGTGCTATTTCCCATGTTCCCGTAAAAACTTTTGCTTCCCACAAATTTTGCTTCCATAGTTACAAACTATGTTTAAACAATAACGAATATAACAATCGAATTTGGTTCAGTCGTTTACATACTTATACAATTCTCCAATTAACTCGTCGAGTACCGGTTTTGTAGACACAATTATAGAACAATAGGTTGCGGTCACCGGTGACCGCTTGGTGTTTGACAGTTTAAAATATGTTTTTCATTAAAATTTCACAATTTCATAAACATTAATAATTCAAATCAATACCACATTCGTTCGTAGTTTCCAGAACAGTCTAAACAGTCAGAAATATATGTCAAAATAACCAAATACTACAGGTACACAATATTGTAAGCGAAATAATTCCTAATCTTAATTGAATTTCAATGGAATAGAAAATGAGATTGTTAGTCAAACGTTTCATTTGATTGGCTTAAAATAAATGACTATTCGACAATGGATAATTCGTTGCTGGTACTCGTCGTGTTGTATTGTAAGAAGTTGCTTTGAATTATTTATTTAATAAGTTAAGATAAATATGAAAGATTTGTTAATGTTGCGGTTTTAGAGTGCTTAGCAAAGTGCTAAATAATTAGCGATTCCCATTTCTAAATTAATGTTTAAATTTCGTAATACTTTATTATTATTGAAATTATCATTTTTGAAATTATACGGTCCAATTAAGACTTTTCTGTTCAACTCTAAATACATTAAACTTAACATACTTTTTAAGATTTTCTTGTTTACTGTGGAATTTCATACCAAAATTTATCGAATTTTCTCAATCACAGACCCCACTTATTTGCAGCAGCTATAGGCAAGCTAAGCAAGTAACAGATAGATAGGTACTACTATTAAAATATTAGAGACTTGAAAGTAGTTTCAACAAAATAACTTATCAAATTCAGATCATTAGCACAGATATAAACAAAACACGAGCGCATTAAATGAATGAAGCTACTGCAATGTGTGGACATTCCCATTGTCCTTTAATGGAGACATTTTGCATTGTCTCCCACACTAATGCTGATTCTGAAGTAAATAATGGCAAGCTATGAATCCTGGTCTTCTTCATTTAAAGCTAAATTGTATTCATTTCTGCTATCTTCCCTTTGCACTAGTTGTTTCGTGGAAAAATGTTAGTAGTCATGTGTTTTAGGACGGGGTAAGAGGTTTATTGTCATATTTATAGGTGCAAAGAATTTTGCGTTATTTACTGAATAGTAAGACAAATTTATAAGTCTTAGTATTATAGATGGTCACCGGCGATCAAAGGCCTCTTCTCGCACGGAGATTTGAGCATTAATCACGACGCTTGCTCGCTCAATGTGAGTTAGCAATTTGAAACTTATAATTAGAAATTATAAGTTTGTGTTTCCTCACAATGTATTTGCCAATGGTGTCTAAATAATCTTAAAGTACGTAAAATTCGATACTTGCCATTGGTAGGTTTCAAAAGCGCACCCTCAACTTACTAGTTTACAGTAAATTAATTGTTTTTGTTGGTATATATTCATTCTAGCGATCGTATCATTACATTGTCTCAGTTTTCATTACGTTGCCACACCAATTAACACTAAAACTTAACCACAATAAAGAATTACGAAGAGAACAGAATACTACAAATTAATTTTGCCTAGACATGAAATTCTATTCTATAATTAATATTCATTAAGATTTTCGTTCCATACATATTATCGTCTACTCTACGTGAACTAAATAATTAAATCATTCATCAATAACTTTCAATTAAAGTACTAAGCGCACTTCGAAATGTAAATAATATACATAACACGAGGGCGCTTGCTAGACATTTTTTTATTAAAGAGTAACGAATGGAGTTTCTTGCTCATTCTTCTCCACTCAAATCTACATTTTGTAACGAGCACCTAACTTCCTTGACGGAGAGACTGACAGACTATTATTTATTTTATACTAGCTTTTACCCGCGGCTTCGCTCGCGTCACAAAAGGATAAAAAGTAGCCTATGCGACATATACCAATACACACAGCGCCATCTATACCAATACTTTTGTTTTCCCTCGGGAATATCATTTTTTTCCGGGATAAAAAGTACCCTATTATTTAATCCGGACTTCTAACTATATATCTTCAAAAATTCAAAGCAATCGGTTCAGTAGTTATGACGTGAAAGCGGAACAAACAAACTCACTTTCCGATTTATAATATTAGTAAGGATTTGTTGACATTTCATAAGTACCAAATAATGATTTAATTTATTTTTAAGCTATTGAGTTCGTAAGTTAAAGAGTTGAAACATTAATTCAATAAAAAATTTGCCTGTCTATCTGTCAGTAAACATAGCATCTTGTTCCAATATTTTTCTTAGGGATAAGAACAATTGGATATTTTCGTAGGTCAAAAATAAATAATTTTGAATTTTTAGGGATAAGAACAATTGGGTATTTTCGTGGGTCAAAAATAAATCATTTTGATTTTTCAATCCAATTAAATATTACGAAATAATTACAATTTCATTCATATATTTGACGATATAGGTACATAATTTTCAAACTATTCTGGCATTTTTTTCAAAAATAAGTGTGATATTTGACTCGAAAATATAATGACATCATAAATTAGTTTTTAGTACAAAATTTATAGAACAATATCGTTTTTGACGTTTTGATAAAAGTATTGAATTTGATTAGTTGTAAAAAATACCGTATTAAGAAACTCCATAGTTCATTTTTCCTTTAGTAAAACTTCAATCACTCAAAACTGGTATACATTTAGTACATATATTTAAAGCCTTTAGATTGCAAACTATTGAAGGCAAATCCCCCGCTAACTTATCCACCCACTAATTAATCGAAATCCCTGTGTTTATTTAAGCAATATTAAGTGAAGCAGTCAGCGACCAGTGCAAAAATGATTGCCCACAAGAGGGTAAGACGATATGCGCGTTGAGTGAAAAGGACAGAAAGTATATTATGTTTCCATCCGAATGTGCTTTGAAGGCTTACAGTGCTTGTCATAATGTTGGTAAGAGTTCTATTTTGATTTAAAAAATATGTTCAACTAGCGACCCGCCCCGGCTTCGCACGGGTGCAATATGTATACACATACAAACCTTCCTTAAGAATCACTCTATCTATTAAAAAAAACCGCATCAAAATCCGTTGCGTAGTTTTAAAGATCTAAGCATACATACGGACATACAGCGAAAGCGACTTTGTTTTATACTATGTATTGATGTATTGATGTGAGCTTAAGCGTAGGTTAGAGGCTAACTGACTAAAATACGACGCATCATTTCACAAATGTATGCTACCTACAAATATGACAGTCAGCGGTGTTTTGAATCAATAAAAACTGACCATAAAGAGGCAACGTGTCGTCACTCACTCTTCAAACAAATCTACCTATCGTCATTTGTAGGTTGCATCCAATCGTCAAATGACACGTCGATGACAGTAGGCCGAATATACAAATAATATAAGCTAGGAAATCCCAAAGAGTTGGAAAGGTATCAACTTATAATACATGCCAGCCCAACCATGTTGTTAGATTCCTTGAAAAAGGGGATAGCCTATTACGTACGTAACATCAATCCATTTTGTTACCGAGAATTTGAAAATCATTTAATTCAACACATTACAAGGAACAACGAAGTTTTCTATATTGTGATGTTTTAAATAGACACATATTGATACATAACCGTACCCTCTACCTTCTTTTTACAATTTTTAGAATATAGGTAATAATTTATAGAAATAAACATTTACAAAAATGAACATTAAACCAACAGTAGCAGGGTTTCCTATTACAATAAAGATATAATACAGTGCTTAAGAATATACTTAAATTAAAATATCAATAAAGGTATATTGACAGTGACTCGGAAAATTTCATTATTTGACAGTGGACCGCCCGATCTAGGTTGATTTAAACCTGTGTTCAGGCCGCGGGTTGGTGTTTTTGAAAGTCGGCAACGCATTTTTAATCTTCTAATGTTTGGAGGAGGAGGAGAAAAATAAATGTTAAGCTAATGTAATTTGTAATAAGCTAGTGACACCCCTAAAATTTGCAACGCCTGAAAAAGGCCGTTAAGCTGTGCCTGTTATTTCATAAGACCTGTACCTATATATATTACCTTAACATGCAAATAAAGAGTTGGAGTTTGAGTTTGAGTAGAGTACTTATTCTAATATCGTCTGCTCATTTCACGTATCCCATAAAAGAGCAGTATCGTAGCATAGCTTTAAGTTTTAACAGTATCAGAAGCCTTAGTACAACTTTGTTTCGCGTTCAAAGTAATCGAAACGAGTAGGTACGTGTTCGGCGCTCTGATTGGCCGGCTCCAATGAACTAACCAATCGGAGAGCTAAACTCAGTCGCGTTTCGGGTATTTTAAACGTAAAACAAATTCGTACTAAGGCCTCAGTAGTGTCGAATACTTCTTTCACCAGAATTGGCAACAACACCAATCAAGTTCTGCATTAACAATGAGATAAAGAAGTTCAGGAGGATGTATGGGGAGTCCTGCCCATTGTTCTGCCCCACCCATTACAGGCCTGTCTGTGGCATGAACAATATGAGATCCTATATGTATAAGGCGTTTAACAACGCTTGCTACTTCGACATGCTCGCTTGTAGGGGCGATGAGATGAATGGTGAGATTTTCTATAATACCTCTTGCTTTTCATAAAACTTTAAGTATGGGAGAGCCATGCTTCGGCACGAAAGGGCCGGCTCGACTGGGGTGATACCACGACCTCACAGAAAACCGACGTGAAACAATGCTTGCGTCGTGTTTCGTCGTGTGCGTGAGGTTACCGGAGGCCCAATTACCCCTCCCAAGTCTCCCGAATCCTCCACAATCCTCAAATTCCCAATTCCCAAAAGGCCGGTAACGCACTTCTAACGCCTTGGTGTTTCAGGTGTCCATGGGCGGCGTCGATTGCTTACCGTCAGGTGATCCACCTGCCCGTTTACCGGCTTATGCTATAAAAAAAAACGAATGGCCGTTGTAACTAACCACCTCCAAACAGTTACTTAACTAATATCCACTTAGCGTGATGTAGCACTTAAACTAACCCCTTACTTGTGCTATTACGTGAAAATTTTAGGTTGTTTTATTATCAAGCATTAATCTATTTTAGCTTAGCTTAGGAGTTTCTTTAAAGTCAGGAGAGTTTGGTGAAAACAGCCATTATTTTATTTTGATTGGATAGCTGATTGAATTAGTGTTAGGCTGAGGACTCATGGCGCGGTTGCGGAATGGAGGCGGAATTTTCAAAACTCATGAGACCGCAGTTTCCTGCGATCCCGCAGCCGCCGTAGCTGCGATTATCGCCTGCAAACTTGGCGGTTGATACAAGACGGACGGGTGGTTAAACAATCAGTTGAATTCCAGACCAGTCGTTCCATTGCGATCACCCGCCAAGCTATTGCAGAGCGCGCGGGTACAACTCGCTGGGCCTGCGGAATCGCGGCCGTGTCAGTTAGTGCATCGGGAGCCGTAAACATGGTGTGGGAGTTTCAAGTGTGAGAAAGCCATGTTTCGGAAGAATGGGCCGGCTCGACTGGAGTGATGATGTCACGGCCTCACAGAAAATCGACGTAAAACAACGCTCGCGTTGTGTTTCGTCGTGTGAGTGAGGTTACCGGAGGCCCATTTACCCTCTTAGTCTCCCGAATCCACGAATCCTCCACAATCTTCAAATTCTCAATTCCCAAAAGGCAGGTAACGCACTTGTAACGCCTTGGTATTTCTTGCTTACCATCAGGTAATCCGTCTGCTCGTTTACCGGCTTATGCTATAAAAGAACAATTGCAACCGCCGTAGGCGTATAACGTGCCATGAAAATTGCTTTGACTTATTACATACATATCTGTATTCCACAATAGCTACGGGCCCGCAACCGCGGTGGATGCGCGCAAAATCGCACCGTGAATCCTCAGCCTGAGTAGAGTGTTCACTATAGTATTTATTTTTAATCTCTATAGATGATTGTGAATCCACCGTTATTCCAGATAATTTTACTATTAAAATCAACCCTAAAATTTCTTCACTTACCCATGGAGGTAAGGCGAGAGAGAGAGTCAGACTTATAATGACTAAAAACCACCTAGGTCTACTCCAGCTTCGAACTGGAGCGCTGCTAACCCGTTAAGTTGTCCACAGAGATCTCAATAGCTATCGTTCTAAGAACCACTCAGCCAATACATAACATAACATAATATCATGCCTTATTATCCATAGGTGCATATTACGCAACTTAATGCCACTATACAATGTAACACCCGATTTTTACTATTTATGTTATGAGTCCCATGTAATAGGGGGTGAGCCTTTTGCCGTACACCGGACACAATTCCAGACTACGTGCTACTACTGAGATTTTTTTTAAAACCCAGTAATACTTGCCCGACCTAAAGAAAGCCCTTTGCGCGGCAGTCGCACTTGCGACCACTCCGTCATCGAGGCGGTCTCATCAAATATCTACCTTAAAATGTATCTCATATTTCAGAATACACAGAAGTGCCATTAGAATTTTGTCAGAGGCATCTCATGAAGAATATATTTAAGGAGAAGGTTGTCGTCTCCGGCCTCCACGACTACAGAGATTACCACGAATATTAATATGAAAGAATCATATGCATCGTTTTGTAATAATATCCATAGAGTTATTTTATTATTATTAAATGTATTTAAAGTAGTAGTGTACCTTTTATTCACATTTCAATCAACACACCATAACATCACGCCCATCTTCGACGGGGGAGGTAAAGGTGTACATTACCTATGCTACTTTATAATGTAACCACTTTACACTATTTATGTTATGAGTTCCATGTAATAGGGGGTGAGCTTATTGCCATATACCGGGCACAATTCCAGACTCTGTGCAAGTAACTAAGAATTTTTTTTAAACTCGGTAATATGTTGCCCGACCCGGGAATCGAACCCGAGACCCTTTGCCCGGTTGCCCAGTCGTACTTGCGACCACTCGGCCAACGAGGCAGTCATTTAATCAACTGTAATAATAATGTTGAAGTATTTATCGAATATAGGATGCTGACTTGTTTGCGATGCTAATAGGTGAACCTACTAACTTCTGTCAGATTTTGTTCGATTTTTAACTTTATTGTCTTTATACAAAGTCGAAAACGTAATGAAAAATCCTAACAAATGGAATGGGTTTACTCACTGACCTTTTTACCTTGTTAATAGGAAGCAAATTCATTCCAAAATACACTGAAAAACGTTGAAAAGGATCCCAAATCGTATTCTTTTATATTAAAATGTTGCATTAGTGAGTCCCTCGCCACCTTAAAAACACACTCCACCAGCTTATGATAATGTTACTGAACTTTAATCTCTAAATATATCCTGTCCAACTTTACCTTAAATCAGACTATCAGTATTTTCCATTAGACAACCCTTTCACACTTTTATACTTACCCCTGATCCAAAGGGATGTGTCTAAGCGTTTAACTTTTCTGTCCCCAATCCTTGTTCAAAGCCAATTTACCTAGTTTAAAATGTAACATTAATCGAATGTTACTGTTGAAGGGATATCAGTTCTAAGTTATCAGAGATTAACAAAATGTGATAATTACATAACTTTTATTGGATGCTATTTCTGGGAATATGGGATTCAAGGACACGTATCAAATTAGGAACCCATTTGTGAATACGAGTCCCAGGTAATAGGGGACGGCCATATAGAGGAATGTATTGGCCGTATTTCCAGACTACGTACTAGTTCTTAGAACTTCTTTGTTCATTTTTAATAGGTACTAAGGTAACGTCAATCACTCTTCTTGTAAAATTAAGTATTACTTTGAAGAGAGAAAGAGAAAGCGTGAGAGAGAGATAGGGGAGAACTAACCTATTTATGCAACTATATAATTTGACACTTACAATATTTATTTATATAGGTAATAGTGAATGGTGCACCTACCTTATGGCATTTTCCAACAGTCAACTTTATATTTGACCTTTTTAAAAAATCAAAAGCACCTCCCTCAGTAATCATTATTGTAACCCCTCGATCTACTGAACAATCAAAAACAAAAAACAACCCTGATTTTAAAATAACTATCGTGGGACATACTAAATTAACTAAAATCACGTCGCGCAGCTCACTGTTGCCGCGACCGCGCACGCTGCTCACGAGGACGAACCCTTCTGTGGTTCGAAACTAGTAGAGCTTTTTTCAGTATATTCACGTGAGTAACCCGTGATCTTAGTTAAAAAACAACCCTCTTCGGCAAATAAATGTCAACCTTTCCACAACTTGGACCAATAAATACGAAAAGATTTTATTCATATTGGAACTTAATTAACAATGCACCAAAAATTCACCAAATGGGTATTGATTCCGACCAAAATAATGTCCATACACGATCCTCGTAGGATGAGTAGTAATTAACATCAGTTCCTCGACTCAATCCGGAATGGAAACCAATCTTCTTTGTTTGATTATTCAATGAAAAATGTAGCACTGACTTGTTGGTTGAGTGTAAGCGTTTGGTTTCGGTTATTTTTTTTATGGGACAAGCCCGCCACAACCTCCCAAAACCGCTGCAACTCCTGTCAGCCAGGATCTACAGTAGATACAACCATGAAAACACCGGAACACTGAAGTCCCGCGCGTCCCAGGACATGAATAACTGTCTTGGTTCCCGCAACGAAGTGAATCAGAAGATATTATACGAGGAGAAGAAAAAAAAAACGATAGTTTTAGTTGGTTTCGGTAAGACAAAGTTATTTTATTATGTTATCTTCTCCTGTGACGTGAAACAGTCAGACCTGAAACAACAATTGACGCATCACATAAAGAGTTGTTCTATGCGGGAATCGAACCCGCTACCGGCAGCCAGTTGCCCAAAAGGATTATTTAAATTATTATGTTTTTCAGTAAATAATACGTATGGAGTCTGGGATTGTGTGCAGTATATGACAACAAGCTTACCTTTTATTACATGGGACTCATGTCGAACGCATACCTGAGGAATAAATAAGCAAATAGAAGAAAAATATTTAAACTGATCGCGAAACTAAACTACGATAGTATTGTTGAACAATTGAATACAAAGTCTTATGCTAAAAAGAGGATTTATGGCAATACTATACTCCCAATTTTGATATTCACAGCGTCTTTTATGACTTATTGGATAGTAAATTTTCTACTTCCCATCCATGTTGAAAACTTTCGATATGTTCTGGAAATATATTTGTAAACAAAAAATCGCGGGTTACTCACGTGAATATACAGAGAAAAGCTCTACTAGTTTCGAACCACAGAGGGATTCTTCCTCATGAGCAGCGTGCGCGGTCGCGGTGATGTCGCGCAGCCTACTCTTATTAACAAACAATCGCGGGTTACTCACGTGAATATACTGAGAAAAGCTCTACTAGTTTCGAACCACAGTGGGGTTCTTCCTCGTGAGCACGTGCGCGATCGCGGCGATGTCGCGCAGCCTACCTGCCAACCTCTCTTCAGCTTTTCTCAGTATATTCACGTGAGTAACCCACGATTTTTAGTTAATTTAGTATGTCTCACGATAGTTATTATAAAAATATATTTGTCATTGTATCTTTCAATGTTTCATTTAAGCGTCTGCATCGTATTACATTTCTCAGGACCTAAATCGATCATGAACGTATCTGAAACATTAAAAATAACCAACCACTATTGTTACGAAAAGATGTATCTCCACTCAGCACATAACTTTTCGTCCCTGAAGGGGTAGGCAAAGGCGCACATTATGGTACTGAATGCTAATGGAACACCCACTTTTCACTATTTATGTTATGAGTCCCATGTAATAGGGGGTGAGCCTATTGCCATATACCGAGCACAATTCCAGACACCGTTGTACAACTGAGAATTTTTTAAAAACCTAGTAATAATTTTTCCGACCCGGGAATCGAACCCGAGACCCCTTGCCTGGCGTCGCACTTGCGACCACTCGACCAACGAGGTAGTTCAGCAGATAATCAATGTGAAATATACGAAAATTACGCTGTAAGTAGTCATTTGGAAAGCCGTAAAAAAATACTTAACATCTGTATAGTAAATTCACCACAAATCGTTTGCGCAGTCCAGCTAAGAGTTACAACTTCGAACAGTGCTTACCTCGGACTTCGACTAAAAGCTTCTACGAGGTTCAATACACAATGGGCAATACATAAGCCCCGTTGATCCGAAATCTTAGCACAAATACCTATTGTTATGTCCTACAAACTTCTAGCTTTTGTTCCATAATTCTAAGAATGATATTGTTGAATTCCTATTGATTTTGCTAGATCAATTTACTTGTATTTAGAACCAATGATTGATTCGTTTGAGAATCTGCGTAATACATAGTTTGTTGTTAATTTTCTATAACTAGTGAAAGTTTTTTGTAAACACTATTTGTTTTATTTAGTCACGTTTATTTTAGTGTGCTGAAGTTTGTTTGTATTGTCCTCCCACGCTGTTATTATGTTGGTTCAAGGGTATACTGAAATAGTAACGTCGTGTTTATTCAGTTTTAATTGTTCCTGAGATGGTCGTTTCATGTAGCCAAATGTTTTTGACCTTTTATAAATGCTCTGGGACTTATGAACGCGTCTTAAATCAGTTACTAATTTGCGTACTAAGAGAAAAGTAATAAAACTACTTACAGTGTATGATAAGTATCTATATTAATGTATAATAAGTATTTTCTTGATCTTAATAAACTTCTTTCACATCACATCAACAGCCTATAATTGCCCACTGCTGAGCATAGCGTCCTCTCATACGGAGAAGGTTTGAGCATTAATCACCACGCTTGCTCAATGCGGGTTGACTATTTACAAACTTATAATTAGAAATTATAATTCCAGGTTTCTTTACGATGTGTTCCTTCACCGTTTGTCAGTGGTATCTGAATAATCTTAAAAAGTATATATAACTCGGAAAAAGTCACATTGGTACTTGCCATTGGTAGGTTTCGAACTCGCACCGTCATGCATGAGAAGCGGCCGTCTTAACCTTCGAGCCACTACGACGCTATAATTAAATTAATTAAAAAAAACTTCTTAAACTGTGAAACACCTAGCGCTCACCGGTGACCGCAACGTATTGTTCTATAATTGTGTCTACAAAACCGGTACTTGACGAGTTAATAGATACGAAATTAAATTCCAGAATTAAAAATTCTACATGTTTCACTTACCCGCTTGTAGCCAATAAAGCCACAGGATTAAGTCGACGTTTCTATAATTCTAAGTAGAAATATTTAAAATTCAACTAAGATTGAATAATATTATAAAACTAGAAGAAGTCGTGTCTAAGCTACAGTAGCGCGGATCAACGGCTGCAGTAAGTAAAGCTAAGCTGAGTTAAGTACTACTCTTTATAACTTTAGACTCCTTCGTTCTTCGCAAAGCACGTTACAGTACTCAGTCATTAGTTGTTATACTTTAAAAAAAAACGTTGTCCCACACTGAAATTTTCTCCTGTGACGTTAGTGCCTTTGCAAACTTAGAAGTTCACCTACACATGACACCCAAACCCGAAATAATATATGTGTCTAATATTTTTTCTTTATCTGACTGACGGACTAATTACAATTTTAAATTTCATACACTGCCTACTACCCTATTACTGTCTAACTACTGAGTCGTTGTTTATTTTTTAACCTGCTTTCTAAATAACTTGGCTCCCTCTAC